ATTTAGTTCGGGAGCTTGGTGTTCTGCAGTAGCTGTGACTGTATCTCTGGAAGGGGAAGATCTACTAAACGGCGGTTTAACCCTTTTATGCTGAGGGTGCCGTTACAAGCAATATATATATATATATATATATATATATATGTATATCAATCATCTAGGGTGGCAAAACATAGCCTTACATATTACATACGACAATATATGGCGCAATGACTTATGGGGCTGGCATAGTTTTTTTTTCCAGGGCTGCTTTGGAATCCCCAGTCCGGCCCTGTACAAAGAACAGGGTGCACAATAGTGAACACCAAACACACTTATGTCAGGGAAAACCTGATGATGTACCTCTGGTTAATCTGTAAGATATAAATAACTGAAATAGCATAATACTGTAAACATACAAAAATGCTTAAAACACAGAGGTGGGTCACTGGGAATTTTGTGAACTCAGTGTTTTTTATGAATTACACAATAATCTTCCCGAGTTGTGTTTCAAAGCTGTTGTATACAGCAAATACAAACTCTAAGGAATCCATGTTTAAAATGGAATGAGACAAAAATGTGACTCTTTGTTAAACTAATTTTAATATGCCCACCCAGAATCCTTTGCGGTTGTAACATCACTGCAAATTTGTGATTTCTGTGGGAAAAGGAAATCTTATGGCTTGACTGGTGTGCAGATCTTTGTTTAACATTGTATTGACCATTCACTGACTTCAGGTGGAAGGGGTTTTCAATTACAATTTTTCCCCACCACAACTTTCTTGGTTTTTGCTTCACAATACTTAGAGCAAATGCAAACATGTTTGGATATGTCATATAATATATAATTAGAGTAGATGTAAACATGTTTGGATATGTCATATAACATATAATTAGAGTAGATGTAAACATGTTTGGATATATCAAGCATGCAAAACAGAACTGAAGAGTTTGGAGACATTGGATACGGAATGGAGACAAACAATGATTGAATATATATTTCTACAAAAAGAAACAAAATAAGATTTATGAAGAACAAAGCAGCTGACCTTGAGGCCAAAGCACATACTAGTAATATCAAAATATAAGATAAAGATAAATTCAGAGAGACTTCACTTCTGACTTTTTTCAGGAACTATCAAATTATTTAGGGAATAGGGACTTAATATTTGAAATGATTCATCATATTCTCAAACTCAGAGGAATAACTAAAGTCATGGCTATCATCAAAAAGAACATATTGAAAGAAAAGAAATGCACACATTTAGAGATCATGTTAGTTTATCAGAATGCTTAAATGGACACTTAAACTCCATAAAAACGTATTCAATTTGAAAATAAAAGGAAGTCTAGGATTGGCTGATATATAATATATATATGATATCCCACAGCGGGATATTTAAATGAGCAAAAAGCCGAACAGAGAACAGCTCTTGAAAAAGTCTACCATATAGACAAAACGCATTGAGCGTGAAAGTTTGCACAAAGACTCTCGGACAAGCCCGAGGTGAAGGAGTGTTTCCCCACAAAGAACTTTTTTCCAATTTTGGATTTATTAAATGTATTTAGTGTATTTCTTATGTTTACATATAAATTGTTGTAATAAATTACACTATAAGTTTTTTCTTCCTTTTCTTCCCACTGTTTCTATATTGCGGAGTATTTATACCCAGATTTTTTATCTACCAATACATCTACTCCAGGTAACAGATTTTTTATTATATACACCTTTCACAGCAAACTTGTGCAATGTGGTTACACTAACCAATACCACTTACTTATTTCTGTGCCTGAGACATAAGATGTATATTGTATATCATTTTTTGCACATGGCTGATATGGTGCCAACTATTTCCTGGTCTGGACAAAGCTTAGACAGGAAGCTGCAAATGCTGAGGATTTGTAGCAAACACAGGGACGTTGAAGATAAGTATTTTGCAACGTATCACCACGTACGATTTGTGTATGACATTTTATTCAGAAAGTAAGAGTATTTTGCACTTAGTAAGAGAACAGGTTGAAATGACTGACATGGCTGAATGAGCCTTTTCACAACACCACAACATGTTCAGGTTGACTTTGGTTCCTTGTGGTATAATGGCAGCATTAATGTGTTTACCCACTGGGAGTATTACTGTATTAACGTTAGCTAGATTATTAACGTTTATTAAACCACGTCCTAGCCATGCCTCTAATCTAAATAATGAGATAGCATTATTTTCTCCTAATATACTAGACATGTGCAATTCGTTTAGTTCCGAATGTAAATTCGAACGAATTTCGGCAATTCGGACGTTCTGATGCTTCCGAATTTCTGAAGTGCCGAACCGAAACCGAACCGAATTGCTGAAGTGCCAAAGTGCTTCGGATTTCTCAAAAGTGGCAAAACTCTTAATATCTAACCCTAACCCCTAAGCCTACCCATAACCCTAGATGTGTAAGTGGTTGTGGTGGTGAGGGGTAGGGTTAGGGGTTAGGGGTAGGGTTATGTGTAGTCCCGAATTGCCAAAGTTCTGAATTTCGGAAGTGCCGAACCGAACCAATTTTTTTGCCCATGCACATCCCTATAATATACTCTGACAATGTTTGCAGCTAAATGCAATCATTTTTTTTCATATTTACCAAATATCCAGAGTGTGTCTTCTTTTGGATATATTATATATCTATACATCCTGACAAAGGTCTCTGTGTGTAGCAAAATGTCAATTTGCTGAAGGAATTTGAAATAAAGTATTTTCGTATCATTACCACAAGGGCTCTCCTTCTGTAGATTGGATTATACATTAAGCTGGGGCAAGTATTACTTTAAAACCAGGAGTGTGTGGCACTGTGGATATATATATATCCATAATTTTTCTTGGTATTGTAATGAGAAGGATTTATTTTCTATACTATATAATGTTGTGAATTTAGTGGAAAAATGCTGATTTCGAAGATTTTTTTTCAACCCATCTACAGTCAGTTTGCCTAATTTGTGGAAATATTGCAGTTTAGAGGTACCGTTTAGTGGATAAACACCACAGTGTATAAAACATAACATCAATGATTCCATCTCTAAAATGTGTTGACATGAAATTTTCTGTAACCATTACCTTCTGCTTTGTTTTATTTTTTATGGTATATAGACCATCTGTTGCATGAAAATGATAATTCATTCTGGATTCATTAAGTGGCTCATGGTCATAAAACCTTGCTGCTAATGTTGGAAATATTACAATAGTGCAGTTAAGCAGCTGTTTTCATTTATAAATGTCTGCTTACCTTAATTAATATATGCTTTCTTTCCAAACAAAATTTTCTTCTTTTGTTTTGATTTATTCTTTCTGAACGCTTACTGTAAATATTTCAGTCTTGTCATAAATGTTTAAGTAAATATAATTTAAAAAAAAAGAAAACTATTAAAGGTTTCAGTTGAAATTGGCCAAGTGAGATTTTACGTCGTGGTTGAAAAATATTTCTACAAAAACATACACGAACGAGTTTAATTTCAGTAATACACTCTTGTCAACTGAAATGATCTTCTTTACCACCAAATTATTCTCAAAAAAATATTAATAGGAATATTTTTGTATAGTAGTATTTTGTTGATACACCTTGTGCAGATCATGGCCAATATATATAAATTTAACATATCTCACATCACACGGGATCGTACAAAAATGGAACACACAATGTAAGGATGAGATATGGCATCATACACACACTGTATTGAATACATACGATTGTGCTCCTTTCTAAAACAGCAGAGGGGTACAAAAATCATTAAATCTTCTGTTCAAATGGGATGTAGAGGAGTGTGCATAACCAGTTAGTGGTAAAGTCAAAAACTAGAGGTTAACAGTGGGGGCAAAATCAAAGCAAAAACATTTGGCCAAATAGGGGGGGTGGTAAAAAGGTGAAGTACCTGCTATTTATTACAACATACCGTGTGCGTAAGAGCAATTTCAAGCTCTATTTAGAATTCAAGACGTTCAGGGTCAGTTCTGTGGTGGCTGAATCCCACTGATCCCAGTCTGTTTGCCCGAATACGTGATACATTTGAGCCTTTCTAGTGAAGTATTTTTGAATGTGCATTGTTGCAAGTAATAATATGTTGCTACTGAAATAAACAGATGTTCAGGGTTATTCTCTAAAGTCTACAGTGGGAGTTGTTGGGAATATAAACTGTAGTTACTGTGATGCTGTGGAGCCCCACCAGTGTAAGTAGTCAAACTGCGTAAGAAAAAAAAAAACATTTAAGAGGAGTCTGCCCTATCCTATGACCCCAGAAGGTCCATCACTAAACTACACCCGGCATTGCAAAAAGGCGGTCACCAGCTAGAGCATACAGCGGACGCACTCAGTCAGTGATACAGGCCAGCACTGCAGGATGTAACTCAGTGGAGCTAACAGATGCTCCTTCCATGAGCTTCTGTCTTCAGAATAAGTTCTATAAATATACCGGGGGGCTTCTGGGCACTCCTGGCACCAAAATCAGTGAAGCGTACTGTTGTGGTTATGGTGCTTGGAGTGTTCCTTTAGAGATAGTGAATAAACTCTGAAACAGAAAACCTTGAAATAATATTTTACTAGTAAACACCTATAGAATGACACAAAAATATACTTTTAGAAAAAAAAACTCACCCAGATGTTAAACAATATAGTAAAATCATTAAAACACAGTCTTTCTTTCTTTTTTTTTTTTTTTTTTTTTTTTTTTTTTTTTTTTGCAAAAGTTTGACAGACAAGCTTGTTATGCCATGACTGTAAATACAGGCATTTCAAGAGGCACGGTACTGTGGCAAATAAGAAAAAAACTGCACTTTTTAAAAAAATTTTATTTAAAGTAGTAAACAAGCAGATACAAGTTATGTCAGATAATGGGATGGCAGTATATACATTAGAGACATATCGTGTAGGCTGGAATTTACGTTGTCAAGGAAGAAAAAGTCTTGTAACATGCTAAACTATAATTAGTTCTGTAGCTAAGTAGCTTACTAGCTGCTGGGTACTATTCTTAAGGTTAAAACATATTTTAAGTTGATGGTTAAACTAACATTTCCATTGTGAGCTAGAAAATAGACAATCTCCACAGCAGTGGGAGGAATGTCTGCTAGGTTGGCTGGTATGATGTGGGATGTCTGCATCCAAGGGAAGGATCCCGCGTGGGCCAATCTGGCTGTTAGAATACTGCAGGTACAAGATTAACAGTTGTCATGGAATTACAGGCTCCCTAAAGTCATGTATATTGATTAATAGGGGCACAGCCTTCTAATGGTGCAGCGCAGTGTTATAGTTTAGTGTGGTGAGTGTGTTTAGGTTGTCCAGACGTGTTAACTAAAAAAGGCAAAACAATCTCACAAAAGAAAAAAAACTAGTCATGATATTAGATCAAATCGCTTGTTAGAATAACTTGACTGGCATATAAACATATTGACAGTTAAAAAACAAACAAACAATAAAAATTAGAAAATAAAGACTCCCACTGGAGCTAGCAGCAGTGTTGTACAACTGCATTGCCCTAGACAGACACTGCAAAGATGTAAATTAAAATGATCCTGAACTAGTGACAAAACTTATGCTCATCTTAAAGTAGCAAATTAAACATGTTACGCATTAGAAATAGACTGTGCATTGAGGGGTCTGTTGCCTTTGCCTGGGACTACTTAACCAATTCCTATTAATGGCAGGCTGCTACCGCTGGGGTGTATGAGACCTAAATGCCTGTGTGCTTCTGTTCTGCACCGACTGAATAGCCTCTTAGTCCAGCAATCGGACCACGGCTTCTGGGCCGTCTTCATGCTTGTGATCTGTGTTGCCAGGTGGGATGGAGCGGGTTGCAAACGTAGATTTGTCTCCCTCTTGAGTGCCGCGCTGGGAAGCATCTGGGAGATGGTAAGGTGAGTGTTCGGTGGTGTTGTGCAGCATTGCACTTTGGTGCCCGGAGAGTCCGCCAGCAGGACATTTGACAAGATGGACTCACCTCCATGTGGGGCCGCAAACCAGCGCAGGATCGGTGAACTGCCGCTTCAGTCGTAATCTCCTTTGTGACAGGTAAATCAGGGCAGGTGGGTCTGTGTTCCAAGCACCTCCAGAATTCCTGGCAGACATGATCGAAGCCTCAAAGCTCTCTCTCCAGTTCTGTATCTCTGGGCCCTCTCAAGACTGCAGGGGTTGTTGCTTGGTGGCCATCTTGGGCCTGGCATGCGGTCTTCATTCAGGCTGTGTAGTCTTTTGCTGTTGATATGTGGCTTTCCCAGGCGGGGACCGGGATAACCCCCAGTAGTCCAGATGGGGGGAGAGGGAAGCGTGGCAACAGGAGAGCCGCTGCTCTGAGTGGTCCCCATGTCAAGAGGTCAGCCGCCTCTCCTGGCCATGAGGCCGCCTTCCACGCTAGGCCGCATATATGGAGTGTGGTATATCTTGACAGAAGTACACAAAATATGTATCCACGAACCCCCACTTGATTCAGCAATGAACCATTGGTGTGCAGGATTGCAATAATCACGATTGTGGCCAATAACAGCCAATATTTAGCTTAGTTTTGTCAGAGCTCTCTGCAAACATGTCTAGCTAGCTCGGCTATCAGGCCTCCTCTCCCCCCAGTCTTTCTTGTACCTGGTGGGTGTACAGACATTGTTTGCTAACTAGTCTTACTGAAAAGATTGCATTATTTACTTGCAACTATAAAAAGTAGGATTACTATTATATTCCAGAAAATATTTTGACATAGATTAATCATTGGTTAGAAACGGTTATAATTCAGCATGGATCATCGTTTTAAAAAACCTAGCTCTGTGTACTTTGCTTAGAGCAAGAAATGTATCATCGACACACGGATTAATAATTTATTGACAGTATTTTTGTTTTGTTTACCTTATTTAGAAAAAAAGAACTCATAGAATGAACCTCACTTGATGCGGTGTGGAGCTAAACTCAAGAGGCAGGCAATTGCCCAGAGACTTCTCCTTGACTTGCATTGGGATATCTGTGATTGGACAGTCACAGAAAGTCTGGGCAGGAGAAGAACAGGAGGGCTTGCAAAGGCTGCAAACAAGATATCTGCTGCTTTTTTTAGATACATCCTCAATAAAATCATTCAATTATGCAGAATTTTCATTGTGGGTACATCTAAAAACAGCCTTCTAACCCCCGTCCAGACTTTCTGTGGCTGTCCAATCACAGACTTCCCAATGCAGCTCAATGAGAAGTCTTTGCAAGCAGGGCACTTTCTACTTTTTGGCTTTGCTCCACTGAGCTAAACAACTGTCTAACAGCCAGGGGGGTGTAACAAGATTAATCTGTAAAAGAGCCAAATCCTATTGAAATATTTTTTTTTTGTAAAATGAAGAACGAGGACACACTCTCACACAGGAAACACTTCACCAAGCTGAAGTGCTTTAGGTGTCTGGAGTGTCCCTTTAACCTTTCAAAAGATATTGATGTGAAGCTTGGACAGTATATCCCCATGAGAGCATGAAACTCAGGGTTTGTGGAACTCTTTCAGACTCATGATGATGCTGGCATTCTGGTCATCTGAGAGGGCATAGCTCTATCCAACAAAATGTGTATCCTCCTCTATTGTATCTAGACATATATCAAAATATATACTCTAATATACCGAAGGGGGGACATAAGGGAACTCTGTGTAAATAGGGAAGTTAGGTATATCTCCAAGACACATGCTTATGGCATTGAGCAATGGTTTTATATGGAAAAAATATGTTAATATTACAGATAGGTGCATATGGGGCATATATATGGCATTAGGAAAGTCTACTGTGGAGAAGTTTAGCCAAACGTCAGCCAAATTTTAGTGACTTGAAAAAAACAATAGAAATAATTTGAAATTGATCAGAAGCTTTTTAAGAGCACTTATTTTATTTTAATCGGAAGCTACTGCTCCTTTCAATTAGGCATTTCATAATCCTACGTCTGTTAGGTGATCACCTTGGCAATAACAATCATCTGATAATTCTATCAAAAACAACATTCGAAAGGATAAGAAAAACATCACTCCAAACTCTAACTGAAGTGGGTCGTTAAATCCAATTTTTAAAAGAAAAAAATCTCTCTTTCATTGAAGAGATCTGGAAACCGGCCAACTTTTCTTTTTCGTGATCGGTGACATTGAAGAACATGCATGTTGCATATGAGCAAAGCAACAGGACCAGTTATAGAAAAACTCTACCAGTGTTAGTCACTAAAGTGAGCATTCACGTCACGGTGAATTCAAAATGAACTTCAAATTTTAGGTCAAAATAAGTCAAATGAAAAAAATGTTCTAGGTCAGTTTGAAATTCCCTTTGAATTTACTTTAAATTCTCTGCTTAGTAAATAACCCTATAAGATTAACAGGCGACTTTAATACAGTTCTTCTACCCTGTAGAAAAGGAAAAGCAAAATTTTAATGATTTTTGTCATTTTCCTCTAAACCCTTGTATATGTGGAACGTAATTAGTGAAATTAAGAAACCGATATACTGGATAATTAACATGATGTAGTCGCATTGAACTTGTTCATTTGAATTGTGGTATCATCACAATAACATTACATTGCTCTGCAGCATACGTCATACTCTTGGCAGAGTATTAACATTAAATTAAACAAAACTTTCATGGTTTAGGCCTTTTTAGATATGGGTATAGAATTGGAAAAAAAAATTACCGTATATACTCGTGTATAAGTCGATCTCATGTATAAGTCGAGGGCAGTTTTGTGACCAACAATTGTGAAATATGCTATGCCTCGTGGATAAGTCGAGGGTAAAACTTGGGACTATGAAATTCTGTGATTTTAGAATTACTCATACACACACACACTCATACAAACACACTCTGCATTATATACACACACACTCATACAAACACACACTCTGCATTATATACACACACACTCATAAACAATCTGCATTCTACACACACACTCATACAAACACACATACTCTGCATTATATACGCACACACTCTGTGTGTATATAATGCAGAGTGTGTGTGTGTTTGTATGAGTGTGTGTGTAGAATGCAGATTGTTTATGAGTGTGTGTGTATATAATGCAGAGTGTGTGTTTGTATGAGTGTGTGTGTATATAATGCAGAGTGTGTTTGTATGAGTGTGTGTGTATATAATGCAGAGTGTGTGTTTGTATGAGTGTGTGTTTGTGTGTGTGTGAATTGGGTGGAAGGAGGGCATTTTTATTATAAATTTTTTATTTTAATAGTTTTTTTTCTTATATTTTATTTGAATATTTAAGGTTTTTATTTTTTAATATTAAGTTTTTTCTTTTCTTTTATTTGAATATTTAAGTTTTTTATTTTTTAATATTAAGTTTTTTCTTTTATTTTATTTGAATATTTAAGGTTTTTATTTTTTATTATTAATTTTTTTCTTTTATTTTATTTGAATATTTAAGTTTTTTTTATTTTAATATTTTAATTTTTTTTATTTTAATAGTTTTTATTGTATTTTTTTTTGTATTTTTAATTTAATTTTTGTCCCCCCTCCCTGCTTGTTAGCTGGCCAGGGAGGGGGGCTCTCACTCCCTGGTGGTCCAGTGGATGGGCTGTGCAGGAGGGGGGGGCTGACAGTGAGAGGTTACTTACCTTCCTGCAGCTCCCTTCTCCTCCGTGCAGCTCTTCTGACAGCTCCCACTGGAAGTCTCGCGAGAGCCGCGGTGACCCCGCGGTGACCCCGCGGCTCTCGCGAGACTTCCAGTGGGAGCTGTCAGAAGAGCTGCACGGAGGAGAAGGGAGCTGACAGGAGCTGCAGGAAGGTAAGTAACCTATCACTGTCAGCCCCCAACAGGACCGCCGGGCTTGTAATGAGCCCGGCGGTCCTGGTCTGTATTATGGCAATGTAAATTGCCATAATACAGACATTAACTCGAGTATAAGTCGAGTGGGGGTTTTTCAGCACAAAAAATGTGCTGAAAAACTCGACTTATACTCGAGTATATACGGTAAACCTTTTTGAGGCACTGTTTAAAATCCTTTTAACAAATTTCATTTTTTTAATATACGGTTAAACTTGGCTGCTTGGATTTTTTCCCCCAATTTAAAGGGACACTATAGTTACCCAGACCACTTCAGCTCAATGAAGTGGTCTGGGTGCCAGGTCCCTCAGGTTTTAACCATGCTGATGCAAACATAGCAGTTTCAGAGAAACTGCTATGTTTACATTGCAGGGTTAGTCCAACCTCTAGTGACTGTCTTCTAGACAGCCACTAGCGGCGCATCTGCAACGCTGGAGGCATATTATGC